GTCCGAGGTAAATGTCTGACGTAACACGCAAACAACATCCGCGATAGACGACTAAGTTCGGATAACGAACCCCCTAGCTTAAACTTGCAACTAAAATATTTAATTGATACACATAGTCTGGAGCGACACGATCAGCGCAGAAGATTTGTTAGCCGAATCCCAAGAAGATCATAATGAAAACAACGTTTCCTTCAACACCAGTCAAATCTGAGGAGCAGTATAAATTTTTCAAGGGGAAAGATGATATGGTAAGCTAATCGGAACTACTCAAATGAAAAGGTCAACGATGTCAGTCAGAAGTGACCTAAATGACAAGTGGATTTCATTGACTAAGAAAGGGATTAATGCCCTAAAGAAGAGAATTATTTATATGTAATGTACACTTTCTCATCCACTCTTGTGTTCTCACTCAAATAGTTGATTGGATGGTGGGGATCGTATATGAATATAAGATTTCGGACGCCGCCAATCACAAAAGTTATTGATTGTTCCCAGCTTCCTATTGCGTGTTTGAACTTGCGGCCTATTGGTAGGAAACCATGTGCTTTGAATAATGAATTATTTATTTTCCGGGTTTGTACTGAAATGTTATAGTGGTAGCTCTATACGATTAGGAAGTATTGACAAATATGAATGTTACTAAAATTTCTTTTTTATGATGCTTCAGTACATCAAGAATTTGTGACTCAGGGATGTAGTTCGGAAAGATAATTCAAGTAAATAACGCAGGATAGTTTAATTAAAAGTCAAGGAATTGAACATTTCTCTTGAACTTTCTTATCTAGAGACATTTCAAAAACGATAAACTATTTAATGACCTTGAATGATCACTTAGTTACGCCTATTTTTAAATTTTTTTATGGGATTAGGAACACACAAATCGGTTGTGAAACTAATGGTTTCCTTCTATAGATCAGAAGGGGTTTTGTCGAGTTTTCAGTATTTTTCATAGTTGAAATCATGAGTAACATAATAGGACGAAACGGCTGTCCAGTGCTTCCAAGTTTTCCATGGTTGTCTAGCTTCAATCGATTTATGGTTTCCTTCTATGTTACAACCTTATTGATCTGAATTAATTTAAGGCTTGAGAAAAAGATCATATTCTTGCTCTTTAAATAAATTTTATAAATTCTATATAAAATTAGTTACACCAGTTCATGGAGTTGTATTCAACGTTTAGTTAAATATCATAGAAATGTAATTTTCATGATGTCGTATAAGGTTCAATCAAAGATTAGTTTCATTTAGTTTAAGGATATGCACTGTTGAGGAGTCTCATTTTAGGATGAAACGGCTGTCCAGTGATTGCAGGTTTTTCATAGTGATCTAGCTTTAATTGATCCATGAATTCAACTATATAAAATTACTAAAATCTCCACAAAACCCCCTTGTGATAATGATCATATGCTCACCAGTGACTGGCTCCATGAGATAATTCCTGGAGTTCTAGTGAGACGTCTTGGCCAGTGGAGCTATCAGGTAGAGACAGGTATCTACCTCAGTACAGTGGAAGTTGGTGGATTGATTGGAGTTAGACATTAACACCGCTAGATGCCGGCTCAGCGGTCATTCGGTTAAGTGCTCTGGCGCGAGATTGGTAGATTCTGGGTTCGAATCCCACGAGGTGGGATCGTGGATGCGCACTGCTAAGGAGTCCCATAATAGGATGGAACGGCCATCCATAGCTTTCACATTTTCGATGGTGGTCTAGCTTTAATTGACTCATGATCTTAACTATATCATATTGAAATTATTTAGTAAATATTCTACGCAGATTTTTATCAATTTCTACAAACATTTTAAGATGATCATTCTAATTTGCCTTTTTGTTGATAAAAATTTCAATATCATTTTATATGTAAACATTAATGAATATTCCTAATGGATGCTGATCAATGTCATATAGGTCAGATCCTTCTTAGTGTACATCGAATCTTATCAATACAATACAAATTATTAAGAAATATTCTTTATGAATATGACTAGTATAATTGAACAGTAAAGTCTATTTTCACAGGGTTCAAATTATGACACATCCCATTTATCAAATAGTTTAGTTTGAGAATAAAAGTTTTCCAAGGTAATATTTTTTTAAATGTAGGTTTGTTCTCTGAGCTGGATGGTTTGGTCGTGGAGCTTTCATCGTCCTTTTAAACTTCTACCCGAAGTTTGTGCTGATGATATTGTTTAGAAGGACGATGAAAACTTCACGATCAAACTATCCAGCTCAGAGAACAAACCTACATCGAAATCACCCACCTAAGCTACAAATCTCCGTCATCTCAATATTTTTTTAAAAATTTCGATAGGGTAATATAAGAAGATGAAGATTATTAGAATTATGTGATGATAATATTAGTGCAATACATTTCGATTAATCTGATCACATATTATATACTTGTTAAGAACATTTATGTAGAAAAAAAATAAAAAGTCAACTAGACTGGAAATAGTCCTACTGTACGGAGCTGAAACGTGGAGAACTACTACAACTATCGTCAAGAAGGTACAAGTATTTACAAACAATTCTCTACTCAAAATACTTAACATTCACTGGCCGGATACTATTATCAACAGCCTACTATGGGAGAGAACAAACCAGCTTCCAGCTGAAGATGAAATTAGGAATAGACGTTGGAAGTGGGTCGGACATACACTAAGGAAATCACCAAACTGCATCACGAAGCATCCGCTAACTTGGATTGGTGAAGGGAAGTAGAAAAGAGGTAGGCAAAAGAACACACTACGCCGGGAAATAGAAGTAGATATGAAAAGGATGAATAGCAACTGGAAAAAAGTGGAAAGGTTTGCCTAGGACATTGTTGGATAGAGATTGCTGGTGAGCAGCGTATGCTCCTCCACGAGGAGTAAGTAAGTAAGTAAGTAAGACTAGAAATGGGGGGCAAAAGGACACAAAGGGGGTTTGAATTTTCGTATGGCTAAAGCTTCAATAAACCTTAGTATATACCCTTTTACACTTTTGCACAAAACCACAAAAATCGTGTTAAAATCAATATTATGACCTGTTTCAACTATGTGTTTGGCAATAGAAAATGATGGATGTTTATCTTCTTTTCTTATTGGGCCATTTCATTTTATTATTTTTTGCAACAAATTAGGTACATTATAAGCTTGTAATGCTTGTGAATTAAGGCTATATCGAAGCTATACGCACAGTATGCTTATATGCCAATAAGAGATAGATCAATTTCAGTCCTAAACAGCAATGGGAAGATTCAATATCAAGTTTATTTAGGTACATGTTTATGCGGTTTAATTTTGAGATCACGATTACTCCTCTCCATATATGTGTGGCAACACACACATTTAAATTGGTAAACGTAGTGGGATATGACGCAATCGTTTACATGTCTTTTAAGTTTTTGATGAAGCATGGACCTTATTCATTCTTTGATAATGACCTTTGCTGTGTAATACGTCTTGTCAATGACTGATTTAAGCTTTTATTTCAATAAATAACTATTTGAATCACCTCTAAATGGTATGGTGATGTAAACGGGCTATTTTTTTCTAACTAGGCTATACTAGATTTCACTATACCATCAGCTTTCCATCTATTTATAAAATTTAAGGGTATAGACATTTTCCGTCGACTTTTTTTTTTAACAACCTAATATCAACATCAATAGAGTCAGTTGTGAAAATACGATTAAGCCTGTTAAGTAGGCACCTTATCACACCTCGTTTGTATTGCACAGAGCAATAACTATAATAAATAAGGTATTGGCCTATCCACGTTGGTTTTCTAAAAATGGATCGTTTGATTAAGTCATCTTCTAGTCTACTAAGAAGTATATCTAGTAAGATGAGCTGATAGTTCTTCTCCTCTTCGCATGAGAGACTAATGTGGTTTTGCAGAGTGTTAAGTTTCATAGATAACTAAGATATTGTCCACATATCTCTCATTATACAGAGTGATGCGATTTCAGTTTTTTTTCACATTATTATTATTATTATTATTATTATCCTTGTCTCCTCTTACCCCCCCCCTCTATTTCCAGTCTGGTCACCCTTTTATTTATATATATAAATGGTCTTAACAACTATATAATGTATGATCAGATTGTTCGAAATGTATTACACTAATATTATCATCACATAGTTCTTATAATCTTCATCTTCTTATATTACCTTATTGAAATTTATCAAAGAGACTAATTGATTTGAATTTTTCTTTGAAGTTTTCACTATTGAACTAAATATATATCCTTAAAGATGAAATAAAACACATGAAAATAAAAGAGAAGAATCAAACGACTAACATAGCCCGTAGTTACATATTCTAAATCTCATTATATTACTTAAACAATATTAAGAATTTTATAGAGTTTAGATAATGAGTCAATTGAAGTTAGATGATTATGGAAAACCTGAAAGTACTGCTTGACGGTCGTTTCGCCTTATTATGGGACTCCTCAGCAGTGGGCATCTACGATCACGCCTCACGAGCTAGATTCGAACCCAGGACCTACCGTTCTTGCGCCAGAGCACTTAACCGATAGACCACTGAGCCGTCCAGTGCTTCCAGGTTTTCCATTATGGTCTAGACCACCATAGAAAACTTGGAAGCATTGGATGGCCGTTTCGTCCAATTATAGAACTCCTCAGCAGTGTGCATCCACGATCCTACTAATTATGCCTACTAATTATACAAGAATTTGTGTTTAACCAGCCTAGGTCATTCATATTCTTAGTTAACTCATAATCTGTTGTCAGTCATATATTGATATTGTTCACTTTTATAATTTAACCTATAACTAAACTGTACTGCGTAAACAATAAATCAAACTGTCCATTATCCACAACATTTCTTTCGTGGATACGCACTGCTGAAGAGTCCTACAATAGGATGAAACAGCCATCCAGTGCTTCCAGATTTTCTATGGTGATCTAGCTTCAATTGGCTCACAACTTTTACAAATTACAGTCATCGGTAATTATAAAACTTCAACAACTTTACATAAATCTATAAGACTTACTTAAAAATCTGTATTAGAAATATAATAAAACTTTTAATTGAATATGATAACATACTACTTTCATAAATTGGATTTAAGTATTCATTATGAGGAAATTTTTTGTTTATCTTATTGGTTAATTTCGAATATTCTAATGGGCAATTGATTTGATTGGTTGAAAAATGATCTGATTAAAATAGGAATGTTATCTAATAGCTTTCATTAAACATTATTTAATCAGTTCATCATCCAAGTAACCATTTTACTCATTTCACTTATTGTTTTTGTTTTACTTGTATCTTCCCATTGTTATATTACACTGTAATTGATCAGTCTCTTTTTGGCATATGTGCATCCTATGTGGACTGCCTCGATATTGCCTGAAATCAAAAGTTTTATAAGCAATGATGGATAGTGGCTAACAGTGAAATCCATGACACCTGTCTTGTCCTATTTGGGACTCGTCAGCTGGATTTACTTGCATCTCAGAGTTGAGGTTCACCCTGGGACTTGAACCTAGTACCTTTCACTTCAAACGCCATCGTATTATCCACTCGGCCATTGAGTTTTGATAGCCACTTGCTTGTGCAACGAGGTGAAGTTTTGAATTCATTTAGTATTGTTTGTTTAAATCTTCCCATTGATGTTTAGGACCAGTTGCAGTCCTAATACTAAGTGAATTGTCATATCACTGTTAAGGGAATACTAATATTTTAAATTTTTGAGGGAAAAGGTTAACTATGACTTCCAGTCACATTTCAACCTAAAAAAAGCTAATTAGTTAATTGTTGTTTATGTAGCATGTAAAATGACTAACATAATGAAGTAAATCTCTATATAAAATTGACTGATAATGAAATTTATTGATGGAATAGACATATAAAATATGTATTATATATTCTCAAATAGGTCTTACTGTTGAGATTATGGGAATAGTCAATACCTCAGGAGAATTGTTTTAGTAGAATTAGGTTCTTTGAGCTAAGTGATGTTATGATGAAACGTTTAATATCATCCTAGACAACATTATTATTATTATTATTAGCTTTATTCAATATTATATTTTTGGTACAATATAGAATTCTCAGCACAAAGTACCTCAACAAGTTTTCGTTTCTTACTTCTTTGTCCTTCCTGACGATAAATATTGAGTGATCGCCAGTTAGAAGTTGGCAGCCCAGTCAATCGACATCTGGATAGTGTACATTCTTCTCACTGCATACTGCCAGCAACCACGATATCTCTTATTAGGCCTTCTGTAACCTTTACAGTGAAAGGTCTTACACTTTTCAGAAACGCACCTGAATAGGTTGTGCGATTAATAAGCATAATGATGTATTAAAACAAACGAAATTCGATAACTTGTTGAAATATCTAGATGACTGGAACAGGTAGCCCAGATGTTTAAACAGGCCGCCAAAGATTCAACAATTTAGAAAAAATTGAGTAATTAGCACTTTCCGGCAGATGACTAAAAGCTTATTCTGTCAATCTTTGATGAGAAGCAGCGAGATCCATTCATTTTTGACTGATAAAAAACGTTTACCTGGTAAACTTAACACAAATTCCTCGATTATACCATTATGTGTTGACAATTTTGAAAACGGTAAAATCTTGTACCAAGGTGACATAAGGGAGACCAGAGGATTTTTAGAAGCATAGCACTCAGTTTAGTCAATAATCAATAACCGAATTGAAATAAATCTAAAGTATCAACCAATTGGAAAAATTATGAATGGAATGAATATTGTCAAAGTAAAAGTGTAAATTATTGTAGAACAATTTCTGACGATAACCTATCCAACTTTGGACTGACAAATAAGCTGTTAGATTATTGCGGAGAAATCAAAATACCATTTTTGCTGTGACAATAAAATTTTTAGGTAGCTACTTTTGGTTTTTGATACACGTAATTCCCTTTCTCATCTTCAAAAGAGCAAGAACAGAGATTCTATCAGAGTAGCAAGAATCCATTTAATCACAACTGATTGATCACTGGATGGTGATCAATGTCATACGTGTCACGTCTTTCTTAGTGCTGATCGAATGCTATCGATCAAGCTGCAATGTGGCCACTAGTCTAGGTAGCTCGACACTACGTGCACTATATTGAGATAAGATAGTGGTTGGAGGTGGTCAACAGGAAACCCTGGACCCAGGTTTCGGGCTACTTGGCACTCGTCAGCAAAGTGTACCTGTAATCATGAAGGAATTGGTGCTCCCTGCCGGATTCGATCCCGTGTCACTCAGCTTCACAGTCAGAGAAGTTACCATTTAATTTTGTTTGATTGTTATCAGCTTCCTTACAACCTGTGACATTTAGAATCATAGTTAAGAAATAGGTTTAAATCACTTACATCAAAGAGTTTACTTGGAAGCTATTTAAGAAGATACATCAGTATAGTGTGGTGAAGGTGTAAAATAAATTTTAATAGACTAAATTGGGGGGGGCAAAATCTGACTCACACGTCCTCGTCGTACCTCCCAAATCATGGGACTGTTTCCATGAACTAATGTGAGCGATTAATCGTTGGTGGTCGAGATCGGTCTAATATACCATTCTACCAATACCCAAAAAAACGATTACGAATGCTACAAGGAGTCATTGCATAACTATTGAGGGTTCAGAAAGAGAGGTAAAATAAAAAAAGAGTTTGCCCAAATAAAAACAAAAACAGAAAAGACAAAAAAGGTTCTGTGTGCATGTTATGTAGTGATTCTGAGTGGCATTGCAGAAACAGCTATCCCACCCCGGTAGTTGTGCAGTGCTTCGATGTAGCACTCTTCTCTAGAAGGGCCTACTACGCTTCACCATTCTATATGTCTGGAAGGGGTAATAGACTAAATAAGGTTTTACAAATATGTACGTTATGTAAAAGAAAATTCCATAATATTGATTGTAATAAGAGTTCAAAGGACTAGAAACAAGTGATCACATAATGAATAAATGATAGTAAGAATAAAAATGAGTAAACTTCAGTTAATAAAATAAGATTATTAACCCGAAAGATAGAACAAAAAGAAGAACGTCTTTTCGTTCTAAGGTTTTTTGCAACATGTTCAAAAATTTAAGATATGCTCTCTTTTCTGTTCGGTCAATAAAGCTGCTTTAGTAGGTACACGTAAATTTATAAACACAGTTGGTGGGAACTATCATTTATTCATTAAGTGATCACTTGTTTCTAGTCCTTTGAACTCTTATTACAATCAATATTATGGAATTTTCTTTTACATAACGTACATATTTGTAAAACCTTATTTAGTCTATTACCCCTTCCAGACATATAGAATGGTGAAGCGTAGTAGGCCCTTCTAGAGAAGAGTGCTACATCGAAGCACTGCACAACTACCGGGGTGGGATAGCTGTTTCTGCAATGCCACTCAGAATCACTACATAACATGCACACAGAACCTTTTTTGTCTTTTCTGTTTTTGTTTTTATTTGGGCAAACTCTTTTTTTATTTTACCTCTCTTTCTGAACCCTCAATAGTTATGCAATGACTCCTTGTAGCATTCGTAATCGTTTTTTTGGGTATTGGTAGAATGGTATATTAGACCGATCTCGACCACCAACGATTAATCGCTCACATTAGTTCATGGAAACAGTCCCATGATTTGGGAGGTACGACGAGGACGTGTGAGTCAGATTTTGCCCCCCCCCAATTTAGTCTATTAAAATTTATTTTACACCTTCACCACACTATACTGATGTATCTTCTTAAATAGCTTCCAAGTAAACTCTTTGATGTAAGTGATTTAAACCTATTTCTTAACTATGATTCTAAATGTCACAGGTTGTAAGGAAGCTGATAACAACCAAACAAAATCAAATTCATTCATGTTTTTTTCTTTCTTCATATTTTTTTCTTTCTTTTGTTTTTTTTTATTTCTATTCTGTAAATAGCATCGTTTTTGTTTTCTTTTTAGGGAGAGTTTTTTTTTCTCTTCTTAAATCTGTTCTCCACCCCATTGTAACTAAATTGATTATTATAGTTTCCATGATGATTATAGTTTCTAATTGGGAGTTTTATTTTACCTCTTAGTAATTAAAACTCAATTTTTTTTTCTGGTTTCCCCTAGATAAGTTTTGCTCATTAATAATATGATCGAATTATGATCATTAATTGATTGGTATACAAAATAACGTTCCAATTAAACTCCATTATCATCATAGTTTCTAGAGATAATAAGAAAAATTTTAATCAATATTGATTTATCTATAACCCACCCAAGTTAATGAATCTAATTAAGTCAATGGAAAGAGAAATAAAGCAATTACATGTCAATCTTATCATCCCGTTTTTTTATGAAATAAGGGTTATCAATAACTGATCATACGAAATTTATTATACTGAATATACTGATTAGAAGAGTAAAAAGTAATATATATAATCTGTATGTTTTATAGTGGATCAGATGTCGAAGTGAGGGTGCGGATCGGCAAAGAAAGAGCAGCATTATCATGAATTATGTTGTTTGACTTTCAGTATAATGTTTATTAACAGCTGTCTACGCAAGATACTTCGGATCCGATGGCCAAACACTATCAGCAACAAGTTACTGTGGGAGACAACAAACCAGATTCCAGTGGAAGAAGAAATCAGGAAGAGGCGCTGGAAGTGGATAGGACACACTTTGAAGAAATTACCCAATTGCGTCACAAGACAAGCCTCACATGGAATCCTGAAGGCCAGAGGAGAAGAGGAATACCAAAGAATGCATTACGCCGAGAAATGGAGATAGACATGAAAAGAATGAACAAAAACTGGATAGAACTAGCAAAGAAGGCCCATGACAGAGTGGGTTCAAGAATGCTGTTCGGCAGTTTATGCTCCATTGGGAGTAACAGGCGAAAGTAAGTAAATAAGTATGTTTTATAGCAAAAGAAATCGATATTTTGTATGGTGTAACAGAAAACATCATATTGTAGTGGAGGAGAACATCAATGCAGGACAATCGTATGTATTTGAGCACAAAAGTACAGAACAGCTTAGTAAAATCTGAGAACCATACAGTAAATATTTAGAC